ATGGGCACAGATGTTAGCCCAGGGCCAGTCTTCCTCAGCAAAAAGAGGAGGATTGGCAGATGTTAGCACAGGGCTGATCTCCTCACACACACACAAAAAGAATAACTGAAAAGAAAAACAAAAAAAGAATAATTTCACCAGTCCTGTAACTTTCAAGAGCAAGATGCTTTTCTCACCTAAATTACAGTATACCCTACTAAATTTGGATGCTGCCTCCCAAATTCAAAATTGTTAATTTCACAAGCAGCTAAAAAGAACTCAAAAATAAAGACAACCATTAAATATTATGTAAGGTTTTCTTTTATTTAAAAGATCATTCACAAAATACCATATCCATAGATTTACTTTCTGTCATATAGCTGAATGTATTAAGTGTTTGGAATTCCATTCTTACATTTAAAAGTCAACTGGATTGCCCAGAAGTTTAGATGAATTTGTTTTGTTCTTAATCTTTTCCACACTGTAGATGTAAGTAGGTCATCCGAAAGCATCAGGTTTGATTACAACCACATAATGCATGTCTTTCTTAAGTTAAGTACTGGTGTTACACAAATGGTTCTTATTTCAGAAGCAGAGATGACAGGTGGAAGGGAGGAAAGGAAGGGAGAGTTCTGTGAATTGCCGAGACCTCGTAACATAGACAAAGTAGGAGAAGCCCAGGATGCCAGCTAGTGACGAATTCCTATCGGAGTACACTGTGCTGCAGAGGCCAGGCTACCCCCAGCCCTTCAGTCATGCTGGGAGGGTCTCTTTCCTCTGGGGCTCTAAGCTGCCGGCTGACCCCAAATTGCTCCCAATGGGACTGACTGGGACTCGGGTGCTAAAAAATTTAATCTGCTCAGACAGGTGTTCCAGCTCAAAAGCTACTGCCCAGCACCTGGCCCTGAAGTGCTGAACATTGTACGTGGGAACAAGAAACTCTATCCCAAAGGTGAGACCTAGTGACGTATGGCCACCTACCAGTTATTTTAAGGTTCCTGACAGCTCTACATAGTAAAATTCTCAATTCATCAAGTGAAACAGAGTAAAGTGCCAGATTCTAGACCCATTTTCATTATAAAATGAAGGGATGGTGGGAAGCCAGTATCTCGTTCTGTTACTTACACCAGGAACAGACAAACACAAGGGAGAGATGCAGAACACACAGCCAACAGGGGTGTGACCAAGAGCAGTGTGCACACTATCCAGTCGGCCCAGCGCAGCTCTCCTGCCACACCCTTCTCCCCCAGAAAAGCACCTTTGCCGAGTGCAAAGGAAACCAGATGGCAGTTTGCTACATCCAGCCTCTAACACAGCGGTGAAAGGAGGGAACCACTTTGGACACGGTTTTGAAAGAGCAATAATAAAACATGTGGACACAGCAGTGCATTCCGTTTACCCTCTATGTGAACTCCTCACCAACATCTCACCTTCCTCTTCTCTTAAGATTTCACAGTTTAAAATGGGAGCCTATTCTGCTTGAATAACCCATGTAGGGATCGGGTAACAGACACAGGACTACCTATAAATAGGGACAGGGAGGAATTTGTGAGGATCAACAGATATTTTATCCTTGTTTTGAAAACAAGGTGCCTCAAATTGTGTGTGTTGATCACAGCTGAGTAGAAATGAGACGCTCTCCAGTCTGCGACTTCTTTTGTTTCTTTCTTGGAAGACACAGCAATACAGAACTCAACATGCAGGTCAGGGGAGAAGCACTGAGAAACCAAAGGAAATGACTAGAGCTGGCCAGTGTGTCTAAAGTAAAAAGAGAAAGCAAAGGAGAAAGTGAAGCAGCACCTCAATCCAAATAACTCCCACATGGTGGCTGCCTTCATCACGCTAGAGAAGCTCATGTGTTGGAAGGAGACAAGGAGCAAGAAGGAAAAAGGACAGAAGGAAAATGGGGAAGGAGCGGCAGAAAAAAAAGCAGAAAACAGGCACTACAGAGATACAGCAAAGCCGAGAATGTACCAAAAACCACTTGTTAACTGCTGACATGCACTCACAAGCTCTGTGTTTCCGCTGTGAGAGAGGAGGACAGAGATCAGGCGCAGGAGTGGTGACTGCAGGGCTGCTGGTCCAGGGGCCCAGTCAGCTATGGTCTTGCTCTATGTCCCCCTGCACCCCATTCCCTCCCAACCGCAGCTCATTCTTGCTCCTTGTGGACGACTTCCTCTCTGGGCCTGGCTCCCCCGAAGATCGCAGAGTTGGGATTGGCTACTTGATTGAGGGGCGTTGCAACTGTGCGAGGTTTAAGCTGGAGCCGTGGTCTCTGTGCTCTTTCCTCTGGAGGAGGAAAAAAACATGGTTTATAAAGAATGGATCCCATTCCCCACCCGGGAAAAATGACAAAAACGATGCTGATCTCTACGACCCAGCCCATTTTCTAAAAATTAACAGCCTTGAAGAACTACTCCATCCCCAGATGCTCTAATAAAGGTAAACTTACTACTTAAGACCAAGGGGGTGGTCTACACTAACAACTGTTCAGGGCATAAGAAGGCAAATGCACGTGGGGCATAGCCAATGTATCATGAAAAGATGCTCTCCATTTATAAGTTATCGCCATACCTTCTGTTGGTTCTCTGAAATCCATGCTGGACCCTCGAAGGGGAGGGCCATCTCTGAAACGACTCCCCATTGGGGGACCTGTTCGCCGGTCACCTGGGCGACTCCCTCCTCTGCCTCCTAAGAAGTCATCTCTGAAGCCTGAGGAAGGAAGAGAACACTGAATTACTTTTTAAACTACTGTCTCAAAGCTGTTTAGTTCTATATTCTTTAGTATGTCCAGCATCAGAAGTTTTTCCAAAATAAAGTGCATTGAAAAGGAGTCCCAATGTGAATTTGTTGGGTAATTTCAGTGCTAACAGATTTTTTAAATAAAAAAGAATCTCAGGAGAGAAAACTAAAATGAGCTGTTTTAACTCTTAGCTTGCAGGAAAAGTAGAAAAAGACCATATAAGACTATATTGTAACATGGCTTAAAACAAAACAAGAATCCTCAGAGCACATTTATTCTGTTTTCTAATATAAACCTATACATTGTGATTAAAAAGACCCGAAATTTAGAAGTTACAATTTAGAACACAAAATTACAAGAAAAAGCTAGATATGAAGAAATAAAAACGCGACGTCACCTCTGGGTGACACTCCCCATTTTTCTGTCTCTGCTGCGTTTCAGGTGTGGATCACTCTAAAAGCAAAGCACCTGTGTGGTAAACAAAGCAGTTATCCGAGTTCGGCCCACCCGTTCAGGGGGCGTGCTGGAGAGAGCAGAGCGCCTCGCCCCCAGCTGGCATGTCCCCTGGCTGCAGAGGGCTTACCCCCACCCCCCATTCACTTGTGTATCTGCTAACACAACTACCCCCAGAAGCAAACTGCATCTCATCTGGAATTGTGAGGAGTAAGTGCAAGTCTCTTCGGTGTGTAGGAGAAAGAATATTTTCTCCGTAGACTTTAAGAACTGTAAGCCTTATTTAGTCTTGTATTTAATTGAAGATCTTTCATTTAGGGGGGTTTAAGCTACCTAACCTTTTAACAGTATAGCTTACTGAAGTTAGAGTTAACTTTTAGTAAAAATTTAAGAAATAAGATTATAATTAAACAAATGAGCTTGCCTCCTTTAAGGTCCCAAAAGCGACAACTTTACTCCAAGGATGGTGCCATTGCTCAAAGCTTTGTAGGAACATATCTTTGAGAAGAATCCTGAGCCTCAGGAATTTATTCTACATAGCCGATCCCCGTTATTCAGATTTTATATTTACAAATTCATCTACTCACTAAAATCTATTTGTAACCCCAAAATCAGCACCGGCAGTGCTTTTGCTAGACGTGGAGAGTAGCAAAAGAGCCGAGCCTCCTGCCAGGCATGTTCTCAGCTGAGATCAAGCCAGGCAACACTCTGCCTTCTTGTTTCAACTCACACTGTGTTAAACAAGTGTCCTTTTCACGATATGTTTAGTGCGAGGATTTTTGCTCTTTTGTACTTTTCGTTGTTTAAAATGGCACCCACAGTGCTCAAGAGCTGTCTAGTGTTCCTAAGTGCGAGAAGGCCGTCGTGTGCCTTATGGAGACAACATGTGTTAAGATAAGCTTCCTTCAGGCAGAGTTATAGAGCTGTTGGCCATGAATTCCTTGTTAATAAAAAAACAATATAAATTAAATAAAACGTCTTTAAAACAGAAACACATCACACAAGGTTATGTATTGATTGGTTGACAAAAATGTTATGACCAGAGGCGAGAGGAACCTGCCCTGATTTGCCTTAGGAGCAATGGTTCAGTATCCGTTAATTCAGTGTTCCCAGTGGTTTTACGGAACCTAACCAGCGAAAATATGGAGAATCAACTCTATCTGCAACGGTGGAATTTTTCTGTTCTTTAAAGGTGTCAAGGAATTTGGAAATCAAGTTATTTGAAACCCAGTTCAGAGACTGAGCTGAACAATATCAATTTCAACGAAACAAGTAACGAAAACAATTCTAAGAAGCTTCAGACCAACAGGAGCACTACTTTGGGGGAAAACACAGCTGAATGCATATAGTCAAGTATAAAGTTCGTTCTTTCTTTTTGTTTTTTTGCTGAGGAAGATTGGCCCTGAGCTAACATCTGTTGCCAATCTTCCTCTACTCTGTATGTGGGCCACCACCACAGCATGGGCACTGACAAGGGGTGTAGGTCTGTACCTGGGAACCGAACCCCCAAAACGGAGCATGCCAAACTTAACCACTAGGCCACCGCGGCTGGCCCCTCCAAAGTTCTTTTTTAACAACCAGAGCTTACACCGTCCATTAAACAAGCTTAATCAGTATTCAAACATTTAACTTGACATTTTCCCCAAACTAAATTGTGAAGTGTATCTTTCCATGTGAGTATGAAAGGAAAGTTATTCTCCTTTAACATGAGATTAAACAATTTTTGCTACCAGTGTTTAGCATAAAACAAATCAGCTTGTACCCACACCGACAAGGCAGACAAACACCACTGCTCCTTTGTCCAGGTGCACGAGACAAAGCACAGTAGAGAGAACAACCAGTGTACATTAACATCCAGTGACAGCCTCATTTCAAAATCTCTTCTTTTTTTTTTTTCTTTGTGAGGAAGATCAGCCCTGAGCTAACATCCATGCCAATCCTCCTCTTTTTGCTGAGGAAGACTGGCTCTGAGCTAACATCTATTGCCAATCCTCCTCCTTTTTTTTCCCCAAAGCCCCAGTAGATAGTTGTATGTCATAGCTGCACATCCTTCTAGTTGCTGTATGTGGGACGCGGCCTCAGCATGGCCGGAGAAGCAGTGCGTCGGTGCACGCCCGGGATCTGAACCCGGGCCGCCAGTAGCGGAGCGCGCACACTTAACAGCTAAGCCACGGGGCCGGCCCCACAAAATCTCTTCTGATATGAGCAATGGGAAGATTGAGGGAAAAGCAAGGTTTGACATTAACAAATATCTTCTAATCAAGTTTGAGGACAGAGTTCTAGGAGGCACACTATTCATGAGAATTTTCTTTGTTTTCTTTACAAAGTTTAGTTTAACATCCTGGTTATTTCTGGTGGTGGGACTTTCTTATTTGCTTTCTTCTTTGTATTTTTTTGTATTGTTTGATTTTTTTTTTTTTACAACAAGCACGTGTCATTTAAAAAATAGCATCATTCTTTTAAAGCATAAAAAGAACTATTTTCACAAATAATGTACCATAGGCATCACTCCACCATATGGGCACTTCTGGTTTTAGACATCACCCAAACACTGCAGTTTACACTGGAACTGGTGGGTGGCAAGGCAGGTTCTCCGGCTATGTTCACTACGTCTCTGCTTCAGAGTAAAAGGCCAAGCTAAGCCAACAGTAGAAAGGCATTAGTTACGTAGGTAACCTCCGTAATTCTGGGGCCACAAGACCACATGCTGTTTCTACAGCACTAGGGATATAAAACTGGCAGCCACTAACTGCCACGCCTGGATTGGCTGTGAGAGGACATTGCTCCATGTTTCCATCAGAGACTAGCTTATACATAAAATTACAGGTTTACTGGATTATACTGTACTTTTATGAATAAGCTCATTTCTGATTGGCTATAGGACTTTTAGGAATTAAATTATTCAACAGATATAAGCAGTCGCCTGTTTAGCTAAAGCAGTACTGAAAACGAATTTTTAAAAATTTTAGACTCATAAGACACCTTGTACCAGTTCTTCCCATACTTACCGATTACTTTATACTGAGCTTTGTTTGATGGGGGAGGGTGATAGGATAGAGCACTGATAATCTCATCTTGCCGAGTATAGAGATAATCTCAAGTTTACAGGAAAGAAAACAGACTTGTCTTCCATCTTCTACTCTTCTGTTACAATTTACTTTTTTTTCTGTGAGGAAGATTAACCCTGAGCTAACATCCATTGTCAATCCTCCTTTTGCTGAACAAGACTGGCCCTGGGCTAACATCCGTGCCCGTCTTCCTCTACTTTATACGGGACGCCGCCACAGCATGGCTTGACACGCAGTGCGTTGGTCCGCGCCCAGGATCCAAACCTGCGAACCCTGGGCTGCTGAACCGGAGCATGCGAACTTAACCACTATGCCACCGGGCTGGCCCCTACAATTGACATTTTTACCACTTACATGAATTACTTTTATAATTAATAATAAAAAAAAGTAAAGAGATGAAGAAATGTTTAGGAGATCAACCCTTCAAAGCAGAGGCCTGGGATGCAGACTGAGTTGTCCTCTTGAGTTGAGACCAGGAGGCCCCTACTGGTCTGCCTGGGTAAGTTAAGAAAAGGAAAGGTCAAGTGGATCACGTCCACTATTAGGGATAGGAGTTCCACACCCTTCCAGGTAAAAACAGGTCACCAGGACTACCTTTTACCATCTTTGAGGGAGCCACTAAGAAGCACAGTTATGAGGCTTTCTGTGAGCTTCTAGAACCTCCACACTATTTCCAGATGTAATAGTACTTCTATTTGTGCCGTTCACACAAGAGCCACCAACGGGTTAGCCCCTGAGAAAGACTACTGCGTGAGACAGAGGCACATGGTGACAACAGCAGGCTAAGGAAAGGTGACAAAATGAGGGGAATCAGTGGAACTAGCCCAGTGTGGAACCGTTCCAGCCTGCCTCACACACGCAGGTCCTAACAGAGGCTTACTGCATGCCTGGGTACCGCGGGGGAAAGTCTCATTTGCGAAAGGAACTAAAGAAGTAGTCCGGCCAGGCGGGCTACTCACAAGAAACGTACAACAGCAGCAAGGCCACTGAAAAAGGTAAGTGGTGATACTTTAAATACTGATACCGGAATTGAAGTCATCCCGGGAATCCCATCCACCTCTAGATTCTCGAGAGCCACCCATTCCTGAGGATACACAAAAAAGATAAAGTTGAGGACGTATCATTACCTTGCTGCACAAACACGGAAAAATTTACTGGTAAGACGTACATCTCATGTGATGGGAAGTTCAATGAAATTATGAGTTTTTGCTGCCAACAGGAAAAAAACAAAACAAAACAAAACCCCAAAAAGCCCAGGCTTGCAGAAGCACCATCCATTCTAAGATTTTACACGTTTTTAAAAGCTCACAAAAACCTATCAGACCTACGAGACAGTTATACTAGAAACTTGCAAGAGTGTCATCAGTGGGCACATAGCAAAGTTTCCGGTCAGTTTTAGAAGAACCAATCATCACCTCTGTCATCTGGTCCACCTTTCCTGAATCCAAAGCCACCTTTATCTTGTTTTCTGCCTTCTGCAATGTCCACACGAAGTGACCGATCACCCAACAGCTAATAATAAAGGAAAGATAATGTTAAGTATTGGCAAGAAAAAAATCTCCACTACTAACATGACAGAGAAATCTTGAAGATACTTACTGCACCATCGTATGTCAAGGCTTCCTTAAGGGAATCCACCTCGTCAAATTCTACATAACAGAATCCTGTAAGAGAAAACAAACCCCCGTTTCCTCAAGGACTTCTGGGTTACAGATATGGTGAGATCCCTGTCTGCACCATTTCCCACAGCAGAATGATCACTTTTGTTGCATCTAAATGACAGTCGACTAGGAGAGCGTGGAAGAGCGTATTTTACTTTTCAGTAACTGGCACTTGACTGGTACTCCTCCCTCTCAACTATATTCCATCACAAAGTGCTAATCAAACAAGCACTGAAGCAGCAGCTGTGTTTTGTAAAGCTTTCTCCTTGTATGTTTCAACCATAATATTGAAACCTTTCTTGGGTCACTGAAGAGCTGTTAGTTCTGACTTCTGAATGACTTTAACATAACCTGATTATAGGTTATGGATACAGGCTTTAAGACACAAATTTCAAATGTGATATTGAACATGCTTTGAAGGAAGAGGCTGAAGGTGCCTATTACTTACTATTCAGGTAGCCGGTACAAAATTTGCTTTACAAAGCTAACAAGTATACCCTCAGCAACAAGGCATCCTCCTCGGGATGCTAATTAGAAGACAGCCTAAGTTCAAGCAATGAGGTACTGACAACCTGGGTCCCTGATGCTAGATTCTGACATAGGCTTGTAAGCAGAGGAGAACATTCCAGGCAGAGGAAAGCACACCTTCCCTCTCACCTCTGAATAAGCTTTTCCCTCTACCTGCAACACTCGTGTCCATGCCCCTTCCTTGCCACCTGAGTCTAAATCTGGGTTAAGCACTTCCCCTACCCCAACATGCTCCCACTGCACCCTGACACTACCCCCACTCCAATATCCCCATCCTGTGTCATGATTATACTTCACCTTCAAAACCACTAGACTGCAAGTGCTTTGAAGGCCTGGGTCCAAACCTTTTCTGTTCACCATTTGCTCAATAAGTACTTCCACAAGAATGCATTGCTTGGGTGGAGAGCACCCCACTCCTGCCTGTATCCCCTTCCCCCCACCTTCTTCCCTAAGTAGATTCAATGTTTAGAGGAACTGAGAAAACCATTCCCAAGTTCAAAGAGGCAACAATAGCCCTGTCACACATCTCACACAAGACAGCTGCTGAAACTGAAGACGATCCTCTAGGAGACAAACTCTAGGACCTGCTGCTACAGACGCAGCCCAAAGGCTGGCTTCACGCACACACTTTTACCTTCAGTTTGAATTCCTCATACTTGCTAGGAGGCAAACTGGGCGAGACTTACTGTCACAAGCTTAATGGATATATTTATTTTCATTGTTTGATCACTTACTATAACAAACTTTCAAAATGATAAGACCACCATCTATGCAAAGAACCACTCAGATGTCTGCTTCTTGTACAGCTGCCCACCATAAGTCACTCTGTACTTTTCATGGATGTACTTCTGAATAATGTAAACCAAATGCTCTTTCACCTTACATCATGCACTTAAATACTGAGCACATTTCCTCCAGGAGACCTTGAAAGCTAGATGAGAATGCTCATTTGATTCTTCATTCTTACTCCTCTGCTCAAGCACCCTGAAGAGACGAATCTATAGACACTAACTTTATCTGAAAGCTGAGCCAAGTCTCTCCCAAACACATGTTCCGAAGTCACAAATGTATAGTGACAACACTTATTAGGTTATCTTTTGGATTTTATAATAAATAACTAGATTTAAAGAAAAACGCATGAGTCAGCCAAGGTGAAAAGAATCTGAAAAGCCCTCAGTTTTACCTGTTCATCTCTCCCTGGGTAACTCCTTTACTGGCAGAGACAGGATTGATATACAGGTCAGACAAACAGCAGATGTACTTGGGCATCCACCACATATTTCTACAAACTAGATTATGTGTAAAACATTTTTTTCTCAAGTAGAACTAAAGGCCTGTGAGTTAAAGGGGCTATGTTTATTTCAGCTATTTGGACCAGGCAAATATTTAAAACACTTTCATAATTAGAGCCCTCTGGTTCACTAACACATTTTGGTTTAGACCCTCCCCTTTACAACAAAATATATAATAAAAATTCTCCCAAACTCACCTTTAAATTTGTCTGTGTCTTTGTCTCTGACTAGCCGTACACTCCTTATGCTGAGATCCTTAAAGATAGCATCTATGTCACCCTGAACTGTATTAAAAGGTAGATTTCCTACATATGCTGTGTAGGGGGGCTCTGTGGGCAGCTCCTTCTGGCTACGGGAACCATGGCCACCAGCACTGCCACGGGACCTAGGAGGGAAACAGACAGGATTCAAGTCCGCCCATGTGGTCTTGCCCCAGAGCAGGGATGAGGAGAACGTCTTTCACTCAGCCACACCACCCAGGTGAAGCGCTCCACTTTAATGTACAATAACATCTTCTTGAAATTATAGAGTACTCCAAAATATCATTTATGAAAAAGGTCCTTGTTTTTTGATGACAGAAATGTCCACAGAAACACAGAATCTATGTAAACATATATTTCCCTGGAAAATCAAATCCAAACATATCTTCCTAAGACAACTAACTGGTTCTCTCTTATTCACTCAGAATTAGCATCTGCAAAGTGTTTACATCCTAAAACCTAAGCAAATGCCCTCCCTCACACCCGATAACACTAACACATACAGAAACGGACTGTCCAGAGTTAACTGCATTGTATTCAGGAGGCATTACTGAAGCTGTTAATTTTAACACATTCTTTTTTTTTTTTTTTTAATTTTTTGTTTATTGCAGTAACATTGGTTTATAACATTGTAAAAATTTCAGGGGTACATCATTGTGCTTCTATTTCTGCATGGACTACATCATGTAACACATTCTTAACATAACTGTTTCTTGCTATTGTCTGATGATGGGTAATCAGAATGCTCTAATAAAATTTTTAGATTTTGTGCAGCAAGTACTATGTACATACTACTCTCCACGCACTACTTCACTGGGTCCTCGAACATAAGGTGCATATTACTGATCCATTTAAACCTCAATGCCATTTCCTCAGCTTTAACAAGAGGTGTTTTCCTGTCCGTGGTTACAAAGCTAAAAAGCAGCAAAAGCAGGACCTTGACTCTGGCACATCATTGCTTATTTGCAGAGGTACTGGTTTAAATCCTAGCTCTGCCATATACTTACACCACCATATGACCTTGAGGAGTGACTCAACTTCTCTAAGCTTTATTTATTTGTAAAATTGCGTTAGTACTAACATAGATCTTGAGTTATTGAGAAATAACAGATATACTGTGCATCATACACCACCTGACACACAGCAAACATGTGCAGGCTAACAATTACCATTATCACTGCCATCCACAACCTGAAGTTGAAAAATGTTTTAGAGGGGCTAGCCCAGTAGCATAGTGGTTAAGCTTGTGCGTTCTACCTCGGCGACCTGGGGTTCGCATCCCAGGTGTGGATCTACAGACTGCTGCTCATCAAGCCCTGCTGTGGAGGGGTTCCACAAAATAGAGGAAGACTGGCAGCAGATGTTAGCTCAGGGCCAATCTTCCTCACACACAAAAAAAACAAAAAAAACCAAAAAGTTTTGCAGACAACTAAAAAATAGATAAGGCCACTATACATTTGTCAAAATCCAGAGAATGTACAGCACCAAGAGTGAACCCTAAGGTAAAGTGTAGACTTTGGGTGATAATGCCATCGTCAATGTAGGCTCATGACTGACAAATGTACCACTCTGGTGTGGATGTTGATAGCAGAGGAAGATGTGCCCCTGAGCATGTGTGAGGACAGGGTTATACGAGAACTCTGAACTTTCTGATCAATTTTGCTGTGAACCTAAAATCACTCTAAAAGATCGCCTATTAAAAGCATCGGAAGGGGAGCTCTTCTTTCCATCAATAAGAATGTCAGCTAATAAATGTAGAAGGAATCACGTAATCAGAAGTCACTACTCTGCCACCACCAGCAGGACAGTGGCTGATGCAGGCAAGGCTCGTCAATGAATGCCAAAATCACTGACAAAATGAATCCAGCGCCACCACCCTAACCAGGTAACCAAACTGAGGATCACTAATAATCAGACAAACATCATGTGCCTTCTATTTTGGCATGGATTCTTCAAATATGTCAAAGTCATGAAAGACAAAAAAGGCAGGGGGACAAATGACACATGAGAACCAATGCTACACATGCCCTTTGGATCCTGGAACAAACACCTATAAAAGAAAAAACAGATGGGGAAATCTGAATATGGTGTGTATAGATATTATTGTATCAATGATAAATTTCTTAGGAGTGATAATGGTATTGCAGTAAGCAGAATGCCCCTGTTCTCAGGAGAGACAAAGTATTTAGGAGTGAAGTGTCAAGACAGCCAACACTTATTTTCAAAGGGTTCAGCATTAAGGATATGCGTGCACGCATGCAGGTATGTATAAATACCTGTGATAAAGTAAATGTGAAACCTGTGGATCAACCAGTGTCCACTGCACCTTTCAACTTTACTGTAGATTTGAAAAATTTCAAAATAAAATGTTTGCAGAACACAGGAGGAAAAAAAATTGAAAAGTGGAAGGTGTTTCTTTTTTAAGAGACATTTAATAAATGAGTCTCCTCACAACAATCACAGATCTGCTCTAAGTCATCCTTTTTGCAGGGAAAATATTACTACTAGCCTTGGAAAGTAACTTGATTTTCTTGTCCATATATTGCTAGAAATATCATGAAAGAAATTCCACATCTTCCCTGGGATAAATTCCAGATACTTCAAATATATGATAATAAATATCATTCTTTAAGACAACATTTTTTTAAGCAGAAGAACCACACCATGACTTAATTCTTAGATGGCTAAAATTTTTAAGTTTAATAACTCAGAATTCTGCTACTTCCCAATAGGAAATCTTGCATTCCAAGAACAGCAGAAAAATAGGTTTACAAATGAATTGCATTCCACGTGCTCCCACTTCCCCACTCTCCCAAAGTTTAGTAAATGTGACTTATTTTACATTTCAACACTCTTTGCAACACTACTGCTCTTACCTTGATAACAATAAACCTAAAATATTTTCACTAAGATACTCTTTGGGACTGGATAGTGAATAAATAAGATACAGTATAAACATTTGGAAAAATGTCAAAATGGAGGATGAATTATAAGAAAAAACACTTTAAATTCATTTATTCAACATTTACTAAACCTCTGGTAGAAAAAAGTCCCTTGCTCTCAGGCAGCTCACAACTGAATAGCACATATAAAACACAGATAACTATGTGTTTACATATGAGCATATATCTGCATATATATGTAAAAAAGCAAAAAGCTTCAATATTTTTTGAAAAATTAAAGGTGAAGATAAAGAGATGAAAATTCAGCAGATGTACAACTGATCAATCAGGAAAATGGAGGTAGGAAGGCTTGCTAGCTAAAAGGGCACATTAAACGTTTGCTGGAGGGCCGGCCCCGTGGCTTAGCGGTTAAGTGCGGCGCTCCGCTGCTGGCGGCCCGGGTTCGGATCCCGGGTGCGCACCGACGCATCACTTCTCCGGCTATGCTGAGGCTGCGTCCCACATACAGCAACTAGAAGAATGTGCAACTATGACATACAACTATCTAGTGGGGCTTTGGGGGAAAATAAATAAAATTATAAAAAAACAAAACAAAAAACGTTTGTTGGACAACTTAAGTAGGGTCCTGAACGTAGGACTAAAGAACAGAGAGGGCCAGGAGAGCTCCGAGCGAGTATAAGGAGCCAGGTGAGCCTTGGTAAGTAAGGACTGCTGCCCAGGTGAATGCTGATAAGACGACGGGGGCACTAATGGGAATACAGTGGGATAAGAAGCCTGCTCTGGCTTCGGGAAGATAGAATCTTGTTCTAGGCAAGCAGTGTTTTAAGAGCTAGAGATGTGGAAACAGCTAACCCAAGCCCACCAACTTATTTCACCCTAGCCTCACAGAACTGCCAGTGGCTTACTACTCTAAACTTTCCAGAATTACTGAAGCAGTCCTAAACGCTACCCTACCCGATGTTGTCAGTTCTACAGGACTTAAGTGTTTTTAGCTTTTCACTGCATTCCCTGAAGACCCTACAGGGCAGTGGGACTGGGGCCATCTAGTCAGATTCCAACTTATCCACTCTAACACTCATGAAGCGCCTACAATGTGCCAGCAACCTGAGAGAGACAAGGGGAAGGAAACAAGCCCATAGAGTGCATATGCACATAGTAAAATGATAATTCTGCTATCAACCAATCAAATAAAAAATCAAATGTCAGAAAATTCTTTGAGCTAAAATTCTGTGAGATATCTTTGACACTAATTTAAATTTAGAGGGGACTATTATCTAAATAAATAGGCTGTATTACATGAAAGCACTTTCTAAACCAGGTTGAAAATAACACATGAAGACTCATTTGACACCTTAGGCTGGTGTAGGACCTCTTCCCAATCACCTCTTTACCTCAGCTTTCTGCTCTGTTATTTTCTAAATATTTCAGATCTTTATTTCATAAAGAAGTTTAAAATTAACCATAAAAATACCTCATAAAGACTGATTGCTTTATTTATACAAGTTTAATAACAACTCTAAAGTAAGCCTAAAGACGCTTCAGGCTCCACCATTCACGCAGAAGCAGGTGGACCAGTAGCCACGGACGTGCAACAAGAAAACAGATGAGCAAAGCAGCAGGTCCCGGCAGACCCCTCCCCGTTCAGAATAGACCCCCGAAGGTCTGTGCTGCAAACTCCCAGGCCGTAATACTACACCACTGAGCTACGACCCTCCCTGATAATTACCGTTTCTTACTGTCCCCTGGGGAGAGTGTATTGATTTTTAAAGCAATATATAAAAGTTTTAAAGCAATAAATGACATTTTCAGTAATTTAGGAAATCCAACTTTCAACTCCAAGTATGACCAAAATCCTTTACAGACCAATTACTTTTCTTCACTCAAATCAACTAAACATCTGCATGTCTGTGAAGTACAGAGCACACTACAGAGGGCAGGAACCTCAGTCTCAGTTCCTGCCCTCAAGGAGCTGATGATTCAACTGAGGGGGTCCAGGCACCTAGAAAGGAGCAATCACATCCCAAGCAAAGGCCCGCAGAAAATTCAGGAGCTGGCAACGAGACAGTCTCTGCAGGGAGGAGCAACAGAAACTTGGACTGCACCTTCCAGACAACAGACAGGGTGAACACGGAATTCTTAACAAGATGATACTGTGTGAATAAGCAAAGATATGCAGGAGTGAAAGGAGACAAGAGGGACGGTGACTAAGAAAAAACAAAAGAGTTAAGATGATTAGGGCTGGGATCAGATGCAGTAAGTAGATGAAACACAATTAAGTGCCCAAGACTTACTTTCAAAGTATAAGATAACAAAAAATGAAGGACACACGCTAAGTTATTTCTGGCAAAGGTCTTGATAAAGTTTTCTAAGCGCATTAGAAACTATACAGAAGTTAAGCACTGCTGCTGTCACTCTTAAAACTTCAAGACTAGTGCCAAGATACCAAGACCAGAGAGTATTCACCTCTTTCTTTGGTATCTGGAACATGAGGGGTTCTCCTTCTATTACCTCTAGGTGCTGACTGAGAGAGTTCCATTCCAGCTGATCAACAACTCTGGTCTTTCATATGCCATCTAGAAACACTTATTAGCACGTATTGTTTGGCGTATGGCATATGACACAAAATCACAATAAGACTGCCTTCATAAGAGTCAAATGCAAGTAAGCAACCAAGACAAAATCCACTGAGCATGTTTTAAAAAAAATAATTACAAAAAAAAAAGTAATGGCCAAAACGTGTAACCTATTTGATTTCTAGACAATAATCAAAAAAGGTTAAGGGCCGGCCCCATGGCTTAGCGGTTAAGTGTGCGCGCTCCGCTGCTGGCGGCCTGGATTTGGATCCCAGGCGCACACCAACGCACTGCTTCTCCGGCCATGCTGAGGCGGCGTCCCACATATAGCAACGAGAAGGATGTGCAACTATGACATACAA